GCAAAGTCCGCTCTCTGCCGCAGCGTTCCTACCCTGGGCAACCACTCGAGTAAATACCGTGCCACCAGAGCGGACGTCATCCACAACTACGCGCGCCGACAGTGCGAACACTCCCTTCCCCTCTTCCCTGTTCGCCGGACCCAACGCCCAGAAAAGACTTGAGCCCGCATGCGTGAGACGAGGAAACACCACGATGACTAATTACACCCCTACCTCGAGAACCATTTACACATTACACCACATATAAATTACCATTTTAGTCCTTGCAATTGTACTGGTCTGACGACGAATTGCTGAAAACACGTGTTTGCCATGATGACTTCACAACTTTAAATGTTGGTTGCAACAGGTGATAGCTTTAGCGGAAAAGACCGCTTTTCTTTTGAGGGTTTTACTTTTAAAAGTTTTAAAGTAATAATTAAAAATCTGACATGCAAATAAAATCCTATAATGTTTACTCGAACTCATAAAGAGCTTATCATGGCATTGTGAAGTACTACAAGGTTCTCACAAACGTGATTAACCTATCGATTCAAGAAGTATTGTGCCTATACTTGTAAAAAGTCCGCTCCTTAAATTTGCTGTTTTAAAGTGTACTCGTTGCTAGTGAAAGGAGACAGGCGAGTTCCAGAAAGGGAGTTGCAAGGAGTAGATGAACATGAAGTTTATTGGTCTAACTTTTCAGATTGTCGGAGACATTCGCAAATATGAGTGATGAGACCGTCCGGGGTGCAATATTTATGGAACTAGTTTGCATGCTTCGCGTATCTAATCCAGTTAACAGATTTCGCGTTCATCGCTGGTGGTATTACCACATGGAAGCAGTTAACCGTCTTCTCACACCACTCAGGGTTGAAGTTGCACACTAACCGGAAGCAACTATCAGGTATCAAGTAAACAGGCCGAGGCGGGAAACGGGTGGAGTTGAACCTAGTGCATTTGCGGTACGAAGTACCTGCGTCGCAGAAAATGATAGGGTACTCTACACGTGAATGCTCGAACATACGGCAGCAGTGAGGGGGAACGACGCTTAATTTGAGGTTGCAGATCGTGCTACGGATCCGTTCATCACTTTACGATTTATGAAGTTGAGATTCGCGCAAGGAATAGCAACCACATGATAGTTGAACTGTTGAGATCTTCGTTCACGGGCACGTAGGAGCGGGACAAGTGAAGTGACTTCACAACTCCATATTCAAAACTGAGATATTGCATCCGAGAGTACTTAGTGACGCGGGTAATACGCCAGCAGTCAGAGTTTCCAGTAGTATCAATCAATCCAACTGGCCGAATAATCATCACATCAAAAAGGGAGAACGGTACTGACATTTCACTAGTGAACGACTCTGCCGTGGACTAACAAGCATACATCATATCAAGTACATCCATCAGCGATGAGCTTGAGATGGGGTTAGTTGATAATGCACAGATGTGCAAGGCAACTGCACAACTGGCGCCCTCATCATCCTTATCTACGAATGACTCTGGTAATCGGTTTAAGGCCGAATCAGAAATGTCAGACCAACAATTTTCATGTTCCAGCGATCGCATCTTCCTCCGAAGAAGTATGTGCGTACTCCTAATGCTCTGCTTGAGATCGTTATTGATACCTGTCATCAAAAACATTAAACGTAATCGACTTTTTAATTATACTTGGAAGTCTAGAATCACAAAAATGTGTTTCCAAGGTTGATAATTAAAGGCTTTAGTCATTCGTCAAACAACGTGGATGTTTTGCAACTATATGATAGATCGTTTGTTTATCACATTTTTGATCATACTAGAAATGGCTAATCAAATCCCAATTTCATATTTTTAACAATGTCAAAAGAAGTTCAATTTAAACAGCACCTATTAGAAGAGTGCCCTTTAGATATTAGTCACTCGAAATAAGTTAACACTTAAGCCAGAAAGTACGACAAATTAAGTAAATCAAAACTGGCATTTAATTTTCTGGTCTACAACGCTGATACAACTAGTACGGAAAAAGCCTTGCAGATCAAGCGAACCTTGAGCGGTAGCTGCATGCCGTAAACCATTAAATTTATTAGCTGCATATAGCCTAAATTCGACTAATTTGCAATTTTCACAACAAAGACGATAATGGAAATAGTCATCAGAAAAAGGGCGAGATAATCACTTTTCCGAAATGCAGTCATGTGCTGACTAGTGACTGAACTTATCAGACTCAAAGAGATTGAAATATCAATCACTTTAATGACTTGGAAAGATTTCCTCTTTGGCAAATGTCTTAAAAGGAAGAGGAGAATTAGTAAAATCTTCAGCCATCGTCTCTTGGCCAGTTGCCAGTCTTCTTCTATATTTTGCAGTATGTTGAGTATTTATTTTAAAACATAGGGTTTATTTAACTTTGACCTGATTTCCCACATTTAAATCTAATCATCTGTAAAAAGAAATATTCCTGCTAAAGAGGCAGTTTGGGCTGTGAATTACACGTTTCATTTACACCTTTGTCCATCTTCAGTTAATGAGAAAACTTAGATTTATATTGCCTTTAGAATATTGGTGTTGATGAAATCCAAAATTTCATCGCTGACTACGTTTTCTAAAATGTATGGAGTTTAAGATGGTTCGAAATGCATACTTGATCAGGGTTTCTCCTCTTTCAGCAGTAAAACACTTATGTTAATGAAACCGCAACTTTCATAGCTGACTACGTGTGCATAAGTATTACTGGACGAAAAAACTTACCATTCTTATTGTAAAATTACGCTATATATACAAATATATAACAGGTTGACTATGCGATAATGCGCAAAGACTGTTATCAAACGTGTTTGTGGTTACTTTGAATATCATCCTAGTCGGGATTAATAGCTGCTCTGCAATTGGCTACTTTTAACGAATTTTCATTGGACCTTTACGGTCTGCAATTTTCAAATCCATTGAATCAACTTGCTGAAAGCAAAGCATTTCCAAATTTTCTTTGACAAAACATGCGAGATTAATTCTGATGGCAGGAAAATGGATATACATTTGGACAACCTAAGCGCCTCCGTTAGACTGGTTAACCAGACGTTCGACGGCAAAGAGTGCAGTTCGAGTTTGCGCGGACCCTATTTCATTCTCGTTGCATATGTCTGCTCCTTCATTGGCCTATTCGGAATCCCTGCTAATGCCCTCACAGTCTGTGTTTTGCGAGCCGATCGAAAAAAAAATACTGCCCGTTATCTTATGCTGGTTTTGGCAGCACAAGATCTATCACTTATCATCATTTACATGATTTATTACATTGTACCCCTACTTCATCAGCGTTTCGAAGCCTTTCCATTCATTATTCAGTATATATGGTTTGCCGATTCACCCATCCTCTTTCTTTTGGGATGGTTCAAGTTTTCAGAGGCCTATACGATCGTGCTTATCTCAATTGACCGATTTGTTGCTCTACGGTATCCATTTAAATCAGCAAGCATTTGTACGCTATCAAATGCCCGACGTGCACAGGTGCTCATTTGGGTGGTCGGACTTGCCTCAAAGTTACCCAACCTCATTCTGGATTTTTGTTACCACGACTGGTACAGTCAATGCGACTCCTGTGAGCCAATTTTCATTAAACAACCCTGGTACGGAACCTTTCGACTTGTTTATGTGCAAATTATTGACCAAATTATAACCTTTCTTATTCCCCTGGCCTGTTTGGTCCTCCTCAATGGCTACCTTATTTGGCAATTGCGCGGCGTTGACAAACTTTACGCGGCAGAAAATAGGTGCAGTGATCACTGCGCGCTCACGG